ACATTTAAAATAAACAGTTTTGTACAACTGCACATGCCTGTAGATTTCTGGTTTTATTTAAGTTTTATTTACTAGAACTAATAACATTCAGTTGCTTGAAAGAAGCATTAAATACATAATGCAATCACTACTAAGAGGATCCAGAAGTTGTTAAATACTGGGATTTTTATTTGCATTTTACTACTCTAGCTTACTATGAGCAGCAGGAAAGATAAATATAAAGATGTATTTCTAAAGAAACAGTTTTTTCAGCTATAAGCTTTAAAAATCTGGTATAAACAATGTAATAAAAGTTGTAAGATTAATACAGAGAAAGACTGGAAACCTGAAGTAATTTTCTTTAGTTCAGTAACTCAAAAATGAGTGATTTGCTATGAACTGGGGAGGTATTATATGAAATGGGCTTTTCATAGAGTGACTCTTGTGAGTGTGGAGTGAGGATTTTCTGACCTCTCCAGAGCTTTGTGTGGTGTTCCAGGACTTGCTCCTGAGAAGGGGAACTCAGGCACTGATTTTAGTGTTGGCTTGGGTTTAAGTTTTGTTTTATTCTGATGGTTAAGGCTTGCATGTGAACACAAGGCAATTTCAAAGCTTTTTGGATGTCAACATCTGTCCTTTGTGCACAGCCTGAGACTGGGAAGCAGAGAACAGAGAAATCCTCTCCTCTGGATTCCACTGCCCATCGTCACTTTGGCTCACACCAGCTGGACACAGCCTAAAGCCTCAGTTCTGCTAAGGACTTCCACTCTGCTGGAAGGAAAAACGTCTTCAGTGCTGTGCAGAGGTGGCAGATGCAAAGCCTGGTCTGCAGCAAGGAGTGGAAGGTGGTTGCTGAATCATTTGGCTTTGTAATCTCTTTAGCTCGTGTATCCAAATAGCAGCCTCCCTTCACACCTCTACAAATATCTAGTAAGATGCTTAAGTTTGAATCCTACCATCACTTATTTCTTGCTCTTGTCAAGCCCTTCTTCTCATTGTTCTACCTGTATGAACTATTGCAAAATTCTTCCCATCTTCTATCCATGTTTCTGCCAGCTCCCACACCCTGATCACATCAGAGATCCTCACTTCCAAAGCTTCCCTCACTCTGCTTTACTCCATCTTCATTCCTAGCACCTGCAGGCAGCAATCTGCCTGCAGCTCCACCTCTGACTATAGCATCTTATCCCAGACAAATTTATGCTTTGAAGGAAACTGCTATGTGTCTCTCCATATTCTTCATTTCTTCTACAACTCTCACACTGCAAAAGATTTCTCCATAAACTCTGAAAGACAGCTAAGAAACTTCCTTAGACCCCTCTCTTTGAAACGCTCCTTCACTGTGATGTTTACAAAAAGGTCAGCTCAGTCTAATACTATTTAGTCTATTAATAGACTACAATTTAGTCTACTATCATAATTGACCAGGGAACCCAGAAGTGCCTCTCCCTGCCTTTATCCCACCCTTTTGCATCCATCATAGTTTGTGTTAACCATACCCTCTGCAGCAAAGAGTGTCTTGTCTCCAAGAACACACAAAGGCAGAGGAGCCTGTGTTATGCCTTTGTTACATGCCGTTTTTGTTCAATGTGCTGAAGAAAATACTTTCAATTTAATTAATGTATTCCATTCGGTGTCATTTTGATTTCACTCTATTATTAGATCTGCAGGAAGTTGAACAGATGTGTATTAGCTTAGCCAATTTATCAACTTCAGCAAATGAAATGGTTAAGACAGAAAAAGCACTGAAGTCCTTTTGAAGTGCAGCCCTCAGAGCTCTGCTCACAGAGTTTCTGCAGACACAGGAAGGTGGGAAGCAGCTTCCACCACAGGGATTGCTGTGGGCCATGCCTAAAAATCTGGATAAAGCTTTTTCACCTGGGTAACAGCCCCATGTTTACCCTGGCTCCACCAAGAACACACCACATTATGTGACAGTCCTGTAACTATGAAGGCTTTGAAGCCACCACTCCCAGACCGGGATTGTATCTGCCCTCATCTGAAGTTGTTTTTTAAATGTTTTGACAGTCCAGCACTGATAGGAAGAGAGATTTGAAGTTTCCCACTAATTTAATTATCATCCCAAAGTAGATATTTCACTCCATGGAGATATTTTCCCCAGACTTCTCCCAGGAGCAACAAACTGAAAATCTCAACAGATATTAGAAAGAGAGAGAACACGACACTGAGTTAGTCTAGAAAATAGAAAGTGGAAGGACAATAATATTGCCAGGATACCAAATAAATTATTTATCATTCTTTCCACACTGCTCTTGTTTCATGGGTAAAGCTGTTAGGGAAGACACCAATGAAGTAAAATCCTGAGGAGCAGTTTTGGGAGGAAGTCAAGGGGTGTGGCAGGCAGACCAGGGCCAGGAATACTTCAGCAAATGCTGCCATGTGACTGACCTGCTCATTCAGTGTTATCAAAGTCACTGACTACAGAGCAACCTTTTAATTAATTCTTCTTTCTTTAGCCTATCTCCATCTGCACTTAACAGCTGATGGGCATTAAATGAAGAGCAGCACTATCTCAATTTCCAAATTGCATCAGTATCCAAACCCTCCATTAGTGCACCACCTCACAAACTACTCACTTAGTTCTAAATAAATGCCTTGCTACTGGTTATTAATATCAGAATCTTCATAAATCTCTCTCATTTATAAGATGATGCCAGGTCTGCTAAATTTTTTGAAGTGAACAGATCAAAAGTGAAGAATCTGTTCCAAGGCATGAGTTACATAAATTGATACTTTCTTATGCTTTAAAATAAAAACCCACTTTTCATTAGTATATTTTAATTTTTATTCCAGAAAAGTAAAAGTAAATCTTATTTGAGAAGGAGCTCTGCCATGTATGTGTATCAATACTCAAAAATCCTTTTCATATTACAGAGGCTTGAGAGATCAAAGCATATAACACACTCTCCTGAACCTGCAATTGAAAATTTATTATGTAAATTATTATGGTTTTTTTTTAAAGGAGGGAAAAAATTCAGAAAATGTTGAACACATGAATTATGTCTCATACAAATTATTATGAGACAGTATTTCCCAAATTTTCTTCCATTACAGACAGCAACAGAAGATGACCATTGCCAGTGACTGCTTCACTGCCCCAGGCAGCAGTGAAAGTCACACCATTTCTCCCAGTTGTTTACTGGCTCTGGTTATTGCCCTGGGTTTCAATGCTGGAAGTCCCACTCCTGATAAATCATGCCCCACTTAACAAACATAATTACAGACAGTGCCACAGAAAGCTGATTCAAGAGGAATAAAGCACACGACCATTTGTATTGCTCTTTTAAAAATTCACTGTAACTTCATTAAACTCATATTAGTGACTGTTGGAGAGAGTAAAGAGTGAGGAAGGGAGCTGATTTCACTGGTGAGAAATGGCTTCCTCTGAGCAGCAACCCAAAGCCCCAAAGCCCACGAGCTCCCAGCAGGCCCAGAGCATCTCAACGTGCAGCTATGTTTTAATTTCCTTAAACCACAGGACACGAGTCCCAGCTCCAGCAGTGTCTGCAGTGAGATATTCTGTGCTGATAATGATGCAAAGCTTTGTTTCCCGTGGTTTCCAAACGCCTGCTATGCCACAGGGATTTCACACCATCCACAAGATGCTGCCCCTCTGCTGCCACAGGGTTATTAACACCTTCACAGGCACCAGTTCAGCACTCTCCCCTTTCTGAACACCAAAAGTATCCCAAACATCACTGACTGCCAAAATCATTCCCTTCTTCCTCCTAATTTTGTAATTTTTTCCCCAATTTCCCCTCACCAATCGAACAATGATGAATTTATTTAAACCTTGCTATTGCAGTTCTTATAATTATTATTATTAGTAGTCTTTCCATTGAGCAACCAAGCAAAAGGCAGAGGGTGAGGAAACGCAAGGAACTCAACAGCATTTCCAGAACTTCACAGTCCTGCTTAAGCAGCCTTCAAATTCCTTTAATTTATTCACATCCTGCCTTTTGAACAGTTAACTGCCTAGGGAATCCTACTAAACTGCAGTAAAAAGCATAAGGACCAAAGAGAAAAAAAAAAAGTAAAAACTGTAAAAAGAAAAAATGTAAAAAGAAAGAAGTAGCTGCTGAAGACTGCTGAGACTCAGGTAAATCTGTGCTCTGGTGTCTAGAAACAGACCCCAGTGTTACATGCTCTTGAGCTGAATAAGGCCACACATCTCTGAATAATATCACAGCCACGCTCAATTGTTACTCACAGGAGAAAGAAAACTTAAAAAGAGGACATTCAACAAGTTGCAATTAGTAACGGAAGTTAAGTTATCCCCTTTCCCCCAGGCACCACACCAAGCATGGTCTAACACAGCTCCCTTGGAGCTTACCACTGGCTCAGAGAGTCAGTAACTAAAGTAAATTAATGTCTTTTTTCCATTTGATTGCCATGTTTTCCAGTAGCATCACTATTGTGCTCTGGACAGTAACAATTTCAACCAGCCAGTGCTGGTAAATCACTAAGTATCTGTTGTACACAATGTGTAAAAACTGTCACATTACATCAGGATGTTTAAGGTGCTTCTGCTGTTTACTGTGCTCTTCACATCCACATCAATTAAACTGAATGTTTAATTGATTGTGAAACTAAATCTGCCACTCTGTTTCTTAACAAAAGCACCTGATGCCTTTAAGCTTCCCTAGTCTTTCCACTTCCCTGTATTGATTCCAATTTAATTCCTTTATGCATTCATCCAACAGGAATGCAAGTGAGGAACAATTACCGATTGGTTTTGTTCATGCCCAGAATAACAAGTATAATCTGAAAATAATCTGAAAGGCAGCAATATGTGTTAATTTTGAACTACTTATAGTCTACAGGACAGAATATACTTAAAATGTGCATTGCTTGAAAGATAAATATTTGCTGCAGGAGTTGTGAATTTATACTTTTTATCCTTTACAGGTAAGATTTCCATGCTGCTTCAGCAGCAGATGATTGTGACACATTAGAAGCAGACAGATAAATCACAGCTATTTCATCCTGTGCAGCCTCACCTGCTTTTCCATCCTGGTTGAAGCGGGAGTACTTGGAGTGCTCGAGCAGGGGCAGGCATTGCTCAATGGGTGTCCACACGTAGGTCTCAGGGCACAGCAGGTCAGAGGGCCTGTACTGACCCTGCCAAGGGGAAAAAACGGAAAAAAAGAAACCAAAAAGAGAGAAGTCATATCAGTTGCACGAGAACTTTGGCTACAAGCTGATTTTCCAAAGAGCAAGAATAGTTTTTAATCTAATCTGCACCAAATGAGGGTTCAGTGAAATCACAGGCTTTAGTCATTTCAGCACCATCTCAGGAGCACAAACTCAACCTTGGCACGTGATGAAAATGTAAAATTAACATAACACACTTCCATGATATCCAAGATGAACTAGGAAAGTTTTGGCTTTGCTTACTGGAACTCTGTATTTAAGTTATCCTCTGGAGTTCTGCTGAACTGGGGCCAACACTAAAAAACTCAGCACCTCCAAAAGCAGCTCATCTCAAGTGTTGGTAATTCTAGCAAATAATGGAAACCAAAAAGAAAAAAAAAACCTAATAGAAAAACCCCTCTGAACAGTCAGCAGGACACTGTTTTTATTACATTAGTGATGGAGTATTTATTTCATTGCTGCTTAAATAGTAACACTTTAATTCATGGAGCTTTTCCTGGATTAGCTTACAGGTAATGATTAGTGAAATTCTACTATTTTTTGGTTGATTTATTAAGAAGATATTCTTTGCAGACATTCCCAGAAACTAAACAGCCCTAATTATTTTCTCTCCAGCTACACAGAAAATCACCACCTCAGCAATAATAACCTCCCCTAATCAGATCTTCATTTGATTTAAAATAAGATTATTCAGCGCCCTATAACTTAAGTCAAAATTCTATCTTTGAGGCATTACTCATGCAATCCATACACTCTCAACATTCAGAGCCATATGGTGGCAGTAACAAATGAATTTTTCATTTGCAAACTCATTACACATCTCAGCTTGAAAAACAGCCATACTGTAAAGAGAATGAAAAGATTTAAGTATACTAATTAAAAATTAAAAGACTGGGTATTATCAGAAGTCACCCTGCAGTTGATGCCATTAAGAGTTCTTCACATCAATTACATTAAATGGATAATTAAGATTATCATCTTGAGATGAAGTTGATTTAAAAGAAAGCCTTCCATGAAGCTGAGCAAGGTTTTGGAAGGGACAGCCCAAAGTTCCTGTGGCTGCAGCCTGGAGGTGAAGACATTTAGGGACACCCTTAGGCAGTAACACCCAGTTCTGGAGAATGAGAACCACCAGAAATTCCCAGTTCTTTTTGTACTCTTACTGTTCAACTCTTCATGATATTTAAAGAAAATTAACTTTTTAAAAATATTTCCCGCCAACAGTAAAGTGTTTAGTAGGAAACACAAGAATAATCTGTGTTTTCTGTGATAAAAAGTCATCATTGTCTGTGCAAAAAAAGATAAAAATAACCAAGCTTCATGCTGAGCCGTGTCAAATACCTGAGGTAGATTTCTGGAAAGGTCTGTCTGACTGATTATTTCATTTGCAAAACATCCAGGACTGATTTGTAACTACTACTGTTGGGTTTATTGTTTTGGGTTTTTTTTTTAATTAAAGGCAAATTTTTATATTAAATTAAAACAATATTCTTCCAATTCCATTCAGAAACTTAAACCTCAAGGCCCTAGAAAATCCTCTAAAGCCAGAGAATGGAAGTGACATTTTTAAATAAACCACTTTGAAATGTTATGCTCTCTAAACAGAAATAGTTGAAAGCTGTGTGAAGGTAGTGCTTAAAGAACTTTTAATCATCATTACCCAGATGAAACAGTTTAAGGACTTGGGGAAAAAATAAGCCTTTTCAGTCATATTTTAGAAAAATTAGATCATAATTACTTGTTGATTTAAAGGCATTTTCTCAACTAGCCAAGAAGGCAGAAATAGCCAAGGAACTGTCTTTCAGAGCTGTTGCTTGAACACAGAAAATACAAGTGGCAAATTAATCTTTCCTAGTAGCATGAATTTAACTCATGGCTCTAGGAAAAGACAGCCCAGGCACTCGGTTTCCCTAGAACATCCTGCTCCCACAAATTCATCACGTTTGTGGATCCCATGCATGAAAACTACTATGCAGCCCTACTCTAGATTTGCCACTTACTGTTTACAGTCTATCATAAAATGGGATGTATAAAATTAACTTCATTGCAGCATTATTGGTTTGGTTATAATTTAAAAAACCTTCTTTAGCACTGAGCAGCATAGCAACATGAAAAATTGATTATCCAACCCATCATTGTAGATTCAATATTTATTTTGGGCATCAAAATACCATAATTTGGAGAGGAAAGGGAAAAATAGTTCTGAGGTGACTTCCTTTAGATGTTTTCTTACCCCGAAATTTAGGAGCTTGTTGATGAATTTCCCTGGAGGCACAGGAGGCTGTGGGGATGACACATAACTGACCCAGGACACTCAGTGGAATCAGAAGCAAAAATGAAAGAAGCCCTTGACTCTCTTTGATACCCTCCCGCCCCAGAAGTGTTTCCAAACACACCAGAAGAAGAAAGTTCTCCTGTAAAGATGTTTTATTTACTCTGCTGCTCAAACCCACATCCCATGAGTCACCCCACAGAGGAAGGGGAACCCAGGACGTGCCCAGGTGAGCTCCCAAAGAACAGTGTTTGCACTGTGTCTATATTGAGAGAATTAAAAAGGGAACCTACAGGACTTCATTCAATCAAATGAAATTACTTCTGAGGGATTTTGCCTCCCCCCACCCTTTCCATAAGCACTTACTCTCAATTTATTTACTTTCTTCAGAATACTTTAAACCTCCTATTTACTTATATTTAAAATCAATATATTTATTTATTTGAAACTGAAACACTACAAACAAATCCACCTCCTACCTGTTTCCTCTCTCCCTTTATTCCTGGACTGCAAAACCACCTAAACCTGAGAGCCCACACAGATTCTGCCTCATGTACATAAGCATCTGTACTCCAAGAAAAATGTTCCAATTTCATTACTCATTCTAAAATGATTACATCATCTAAATAAATTGCCTCTCAGCATACTATTTATTTTCCTTCTTATTCTTAATATTGCTTTGCAGCATACACCCCACATAAATCCAAAATAGAAAGGGGATCTCCTTTAAGGAAGTGCTGCAAAGGGATTTATCACGGTAGAACTTGATCAGATTTGCAAAACTGATTTTGAAAATCATTTCTCTTTGGCTTCAGATGAAATCAGCATTCATTTCAGAAGTGATTCTGTCTATGGTAAGAGTTCACAACTGAAAACATTTTGCTTTCTTTTATCTCATTATATACAAACTCTTGCACAGTAGAACTGTTTAAGTTGTCAAGACCATCTTGGGAATATTTAACTACAAGACTTTCAACAAGAAGTATCCTCTTACACACCATCCCCAAGCACTTCTCTCGGGTTTCAGCTTCTCAAACCCAATACCACCTGCAGATGAAATGAACTCTGTCAATACAAAACAACTGCTCATATTTCTCTCTCTGCATCTACATTTTGTCAAGACATATCCAAGACACAAAATCTACTTTTTTGAAATGTTTTTGGAATTTAAAAACTCCTGGTCTAGTGGAAGGTGATGGGAGTGGAGGATCTCCAAGGTCCTTTCCTATCCAAACCATTCTGTGCTATCTCCATCAGACTGAAGGGAATTAAATTCTTTACAGCACTATGAGGTGAGGTATTTCATACCTTTAACCATCCTGGTTAACCTGTCCTTTTCCCAATTTTGCTTTTTCTTCTTTGAAACAGGGGAAAGAGCCACAGGGGGAAACCATTTAAATTGCATTGTTCAAGGAGCATAACAACCCAATGCATAACAAAGGTACAAATTAGATTAAAGGTACAAATTAGATTAAAGGTACAAAAAGATTAGATAAGCATACAAAAAGATAAATATCTGACTAATCTATCAAATGGCTTGGCTAAAAAGCAATTCTGAAAATTAGTATGGCTAAGAAATTCCTGAGCACACAGTTCCTTCTACCAAGTCAACTCATTGCAACATAAATGTGACTGGTTTTTAATAAAAAATACCTGCAAGATGTTTTATTGTCACTAATATTTGTGACATTTTTCTTCCTATATAATATAAAAGAGACAATTTTCAAGGTACTTTCCCTTATACAATTAGACATGCTGCATTTTAATTGGAAGCTTCTGGAAAGAAATTTTACAAAGGGACTGCCAAGCCTAAATTAATACTTCACACCATGATAGTTTCTGTTTTACAGTTTTCAAGTTACAATCAGCCAGAACTTCTCTGAACTTTTGTTCCACAGGAAGGGCAAAGGTTTTAATGAGACTTTAGTCTGGAGATTACTTTTTAAATATTTTGCAAAATCTGAGGGATTTGGTAAGCACTTGAGATGAAAAACACCAGCAGAGTTTGTTTTTCTAGTCTAAGTAAAACTTAAAAAGTAAAACTACCAAGAAAGACAAGTCTCAAAAATTAAGGTCAAGCACCAGTAGCACTGAAAAAACAAAATAGGAAGGTTAAACTCACATTTAATTCTTTTACCAGGTACAGTTTACATCTGTATTCTATTTTTTCACAATAAAGCCATTGATCTTTTATTAAAAGTGAATTAAGACTGCCTTCATCTCCATTTCCAGCCAGCTGCATAAGAAGAAATGCTCTGCAAAGCAACTCCAAATTATCAACAGTGACCCCTTAGAGCTGGGCAGCACTGCCCACCACAGGTTTATGGAATTCAGCCCTTCCCTGAAAGCCAAGCCCTGTGCCTGGTGCTGCACAGACCCTGCTCCCTGATTTCATTCCACAGACAGAACCAGAGTTTATGGATGCCCAGGAGAGCCCTTGGCTGGTAACTCGACCTGCTGTGTGCTCCCAGGTGGGCTGCGCCAGCCCGCACAAAGAGCTGCACATCCCAACCCCTCTGTGCTTCCAGCCTCTCTCACATGGCATCCAGCTGGGTGAGGCCTAAAAGACTTCAGAAAAACAACAAAATCCCCTCCCCATGTGACAAAACTACCTCTACAAATTCACTCCCACCTCGAAGTCACTGTTTTAAACATCTTTTTAAACAAATAAAAATCCCGTAAGCAACAGGCACAG